GGGGCCCCCCCCCCCCCCCGTGAATCATTCCAACGAGCTGATTTCGCACATTTTCTCGTGCGGTGTGACATCATGAAACGTAGACAAGACAAGTTTTATCACTGGCGAATTGTTACAAAAATGGCAAAGCTTTGATGTGTGCTTCTTTTTTAAACAAATCATTGCCGTATCATGATAATTTTCAAAAAACACGAAACATGTAACACGCATGCAGATACAAAACCACTCACGTGTTCAGAAATCTGAAAGCAGCTCACCACCGACAGATGTACCACCCAATCAGTGTGTAAATTTGAAAGTAATTGGTGGCATTGATTTTATTTTATTGAGCTTCAAAAAGTGTGTACTTAATAATGTGACAGAGTATATATGGCACATAAACGTATTGAAAACTGAAGAATTATCCCCCTTAACGAGCAAGGATTTTTGCTGCAGCTCGTGCAGCTCACACGAACAACTCACTCCTGTCCCGTGCTAAAACTGGCGACTCATGACCTTAAATAGAAATAAACTGTGGCTGTTTAAAGTTAAAGTATGCACCTTTTCTTTTTTCCCGTGAGTATTAAAGACAGAGAGGGTCATCAGGACGGAGGAAGGATTTAATATTTAGGGTGGGGGGGGGACTACAGACTTCAACATAAGTTAAGGACCACTTGTGCAAACACTCTGAGTGGTCTTCTTGGGTCGACCTGCACGTGGGTGTTCTTGGACTGATCCAGTGTCTTGATGGCGCTGCCTCATGCAGACAATGTAAGCCTTCTGGCAACTTCTCGGCCCTGCAGCCATGCCATAGGTCTGGCACGATCAAAGTCTCTCAGCTTTTGTCCTTGGTGGCACGTTGATGCGATACTGGATTTTTACGTAAACAGAAACGGCGGCTTATATTGCCACCAAAGAGAGCACAGTTCGAAACCGCACGTCTGTTTCCAACGTGTTCCAGAATGTCTAACTGAGGAAAGTCCATGGTGTCAAACACAAGTCGATAAAAAACAGCAAATCTGGCTAAAATTCGCCGAGGATTCCCGTGATTCACGAGGCAGTTTTGCTTTTTTAGGAAGCTTTTCAGTACGCATTGGTAACCTATGAACTCTTTCAGAGCAAAGCATTTTGAAACATTCCTTGCTGTCGTTTTTATCGGATTAAAAAAAATCATGGCTGTCTGTCAAGGTGGCCCTTAACTAATGTTGAAGTCTGTACATTAATTGAACTTATGTACGAAGTAAGAGTAAGGGGGGTGGTGAAAGAGAGAGAGGGAGATGAAACAATATCTAACCTGAGGTACAAATCACCTTGAAGGGGTGGAGGGGGGAAGGGGATGGGATGAGAGAGGAACAGGAAAAGGTGGGG